ATGATGTTTAGAAAAGAAAAAATTGACAAAAAGAAGAAATGAGTGATGTTAAGAAAAGATAAAAATCAATATAAAATAAAATATAAAATCAAATATAATAAATAATAAGAATAAGAATGATTATTTCTTATTTTATTATTATTAATAAAAGATAAAAAGAGATATACCATAATAAATACAACTTTGTTATAAAATATATTTTGGTGTTTGTAATTTGAAAATTAAACAAATTAATGACCGACCAATACATCAAAAAATGGAAGTCCCATCAAACAAGTGGACATTTTAGAAGATGGTTCGAGTCAAAATTTGTAGATAAAACTACTACAATAAATGCATGGAAGTCCATCAATATAAAGAAAAATGCATTTCTCCAATTAACTAAAATGCAAGATGGAGTAATATTTAGTGTGTACAGGAAAGATAAAATATTAAAAAATGAAAGATTGAAGTACTGCACACTTTGTAAAGACAAGACATCCACAGTAGAACACATTCTACTATCTTGTATTTGTCATAAAAAATCACAAATTGAGAAACATGACCATATTGGCATTATCATATTAAATAATAAGAAAATACACAAGAAATAAACAATACAAGAAATCAACATATGAAACAATGTCCCAATACAATGACATCACTATGATATTGAATAAACAAATAATGCCAAAAAGTAAATGACTATATCATAAAATACCAGATATATATGTACTAGATAAAAAGAATAAAACTGGTCTAATAATTGATATGACTATTATTGCATATCACAATATTAATGGAGGGTATTGGAAGAAAAGAAATATGTATAAGGAATTGAAAAATAGGCTAATGAAAATAGAAAAATTAAAAGATATCAAAATAAATACAGTTGTAATTTCAATAAATTAAATAATAAATGTAGAAAATATTAAATTAATTAAATAATTAAAAATCGAAATTAACATCATTAAAGAAATCAAAAACCTTGTAATTAAAAACATGATGGACTTCATGGAATATTGTATCTAATAAAATGCACTCCGTAGAACTACGAGAATAATTCAGGAATGAAAATAGTCTCCCTGATCAATTAATAACAGATACCAATTCTACTACTAATTAATAGCTTTTTATTTAATTGAATTATTTTG